TTTTGCAACCTCAGTGGTCCACAAAACTTTAGGAACTGGTGGTAAAAGAGGAACAAGTTTGAAATTTTGGCCTATATGACATTGGTTCTCACAAAGGGTTTGAAACAAGCAAGAGTGAACAAAGTCAGGACGCATCAATTGAGGGCGGACAGAAAATCCTGCTGTTGACATGCCGCGGTACTGCATTTCATGTGGCGCTGGCGTGGGCGGATCATCGACTCCTGTCTCGGGGGTGCTGTGCCTGGACAGCAGGGCAGGGTAAGATGTGCAGGGGTGCCTTTTGTATGGGGTAACGAGCTAGAGAGAAGAATTCCAGGGGAGTTGGAGGTGATGATGGTGTGTCAGAGTGCGGTGAAGACAGCAATTGGGCAGGGGTGGTTGGCGGAGCAGCTGCAGGTTGCAGGTGCTGCTTTTTGCGCAGCTGGTTGAGCTGGGCCGCGCGGAAGTCCACAGGCTCTGCCGCAAGTGTGACTCGCCGACTCGAGCGGGGTAGTGCCATTTGGTGGTGCAATCTTGGGAAGCAATTGAGATTGGTGATTCATGTGTTGAGGTTAGTGGTTCATTGTAATCCAAGGGCATCATTGGACATGATCACCTCTGGGTCTTGTTTGGGAAAGTTGATTGCCAGTGGGGTTTAGTAGATGGTTAAGGAGACGGACATGTGCAGCAGACTAGGCGTGTTTGAACTGTGGGTGGGGCATGGTTCATTTACCATTGAGGCATTTGCCTGGGGCGGGGATGGGGTAGTATAAGGTCAGAAGTTGGTGGCGGTGGCGAGGAACTTGGTGACATTTTGCGATGTCTGGGCCGGTGTAAGTACCTTGGTTCTGTGTGTAAGCAGGGCTTGAGGTCGTCCGTCCGGATTGGAAAGGACAAGGACGTCCCCCCGAGGCAGTGTTCCCGTGCTCAGGCACTGGTTATCTTGGGCAGACGGCTGTATGGTGATGCTGGTCGCAGAGCGAAGATCGCTGGGCTGCTGCCTTGGTTGCATTATAAGGGGGTACCGGGGATGGCGTGAGCTTGGCCAGTTTTGACACTTCTATACAAGCAGACTGTACAGGGTCGCCGGTAGATGAGTGTGTCGGTTTGTTGTGTCCATGATCGTGGGGTGCCATGCGTGAGGCAGCGGTTGTACCATGCCGACCTGGATTACTTGGTTGAGCCACTGCTCCGCTCGAACCATCCGTATCAGCTGTGGCTCTGTTGCAGGGAGTGCCTGTATGCATTGTGCTTGGTGGAGTTTGCACAAGTTGTGGAGTTGCCAGTGCTGTGCGATCTGCAGTGTGGCATGGAGGCATGTGAAAATGGAAAGGATTGACGTTACTGTGTTGGGAAGTGTGTGATGGCGGAGGTCGCTGCATGGGTGCCCGTTGGCCACATGCGATCGGATGTCTCTGTGGCTAAGCGCCCACCTGGAGGCGGTGCGGACCTGCACGGCGACGGATCGGCTGTTCAGAATCGTGTGGCTGGGTGGCAGGGGATTGGGTGATCAGTGACCAGTGAGATGAGGAGGCATGACCTGGGTGATGTTTAGAAGAGCAGTTGGCAGAATACTGCAGTAGAAGCAGGTGAGGTGGAATATCCTTGCGTCAATTGTCCTGCGGGAGGAGGAATTTGGTTTGGGCTATGCACTTGTATCAAGCGTGGGGAAGCATGCAGGGATGTGTCCGGGCGAAACTGGGGGGACACCGGTAGGTGACTAGCCTGCTGAGGTTCTACAGGAGCGTGCTGAACGATTCGAGGGCAGCGGAGGCATTTCGTCGGCGGTTTGCTCATGTAGCTGGGCTGGGAAAAAGAAACCTTGAAAAACAGCATAGCAGCAAACGGCCGTTGGCGGACGTATCGTTGTCCTGCGTGCAATGCTGAAGTGCAATCAACCGTGGTCAACGGGAAAGTCTCCTCTCGGGGACACTGCGGTCGACAATTTCGAGTTGCAGCTGGTGTGGCGAGCCGATCCTATTTGCATGCTTGTCCCACATGCAACACCACGGTTGAACAACAAAACCTGATGGCCGCATTCGAAAGCAGCATAAAGATAGCACCGGTCGCCTTTGCAAGACATACCAGTGGAAAAGTGCGGGGCCCGTATCTGATGCTTGAACCTGTGGCGGCCGATTCCGAAACAACAAGTGCAGCTCCCAGGCCTTCAAAACAGCTCCACAGCGAACTTCTAGCGGGCGCTTCCGAAACGGCAAAACACCATGTCACTGAAGGACGGATCGGCAACTGCCTAGAAACTAGCTTCAAACCTTGCTTTTTCCTGCCGTCAGCTCGGGTCCAAGGACCCTGTCGTTGCCTTCTGAACCGACAAGAAACCAGCTCCAAAGTGCAGCTCCCATGCTCCCAAACAGCTCCACAGCGAAGTTCTAGCAGGCGCTTCCGAAACGGCAAAACACCACGGCACTGAAGGACGGATCGGGCCCGCGGCCGGCAGCCCATAGTGCCAAACGTTGCTTTCTGAACTGCCTAGAAACTAGCTTCAAACCTTGCTTTTTCCTGCCGTCAGCTCGGGTCCAAGGACCCTATCGCAGGCCCAGCTTCAAACCTTGCTTTTAGCTCGGGTCCAAGGACCCTGTCGCAGGCCCATGGTGCCAAACGTTGCTTTCTCAACTGCCTAGAACCTAGCTTCAAACCTTGCTTTTTCCTGCCGTCAGCTCGGGTCCAAGGACCCTGTCGTAGGCCTCAAACACCTGCGGGCGCCCGTGCTTGTCCAATTTTCTCTCTTCGCCCCTTGTTGCGAGTAAGGCCTCCTCTGATTCGCTCCCCCTGCTGGCGGCAGGGGTCGGCGGACATACATACATACATACACACACACACATACATACATACATACATACATACATACACACATACATACATACACAGACATGCATACATACATACATACATATATATATATATATTGGAAAAGTAGAACCTGGAAGCTTTTTGCCCTTGCACTTTGGTCGAAGTGTCGCTTCGCTCTGCCAGGTTCTTGGCCGAGTACGCACCCTGAGGTGCAGCATGCAGCGGGGGGGTCGAATCGAATTATCATCCCAGCCCCTGAATAATGGGATATTAATGGGATTTGATGGAATACTAATGGAATTTGATTGGATATTAATGGAGTTTGATTGGATTTAATGGATTTCAATGGGATGTTTATGAAATACAATGGGATATTTATGGGATCTAATGGGATAGTAATGGAATTCAATGGGATATATATATATATATATTGGATTTTGAAGGGATTTAATGAGATGTTCATGGGATATTTTTGAAATATATGTACATACATACATACATACATACATACATACATACATACATACATACATACATACATACATACATACATACATACATACATACATACATACATACATACATACATACATACTACATGTATATATATATACATGACTATATTACATATATATATATATATATGTATTACATACATACATACATACATACATACATACATACATACATACATACATACATACATACATACATACATACATACATACATACATACATACATACATACATACATACATACATACATACATACATACATACATACATACATACATCCCATCCCCTTACTATTTCAAACACCCCCCATTGTATGGTTATAAATATGTGATTTCATCCCCTAGATCCACCATGGTTTCGTTTGGGGCTGTTTAATATGAACCGGGGATGGGATTATAATTGCATTTTGGTGGCTTTGCCAAATGGTTGAATTTGGCACCACTGCATTGTAATTGGCTGCAGTATGCTGCAGTCACAGATAGCAAAGCAATCCATCCCCAAAAAAGATACTGCGATGTTGATTTCAGCGCCGATCAATTTTAGGTACAGCATATTTTCCGCGACTTTGTTCCAGAAGTTCTGCGTAGTTTTTTTCCCCAACAGCGTAAACTAATAGCTCAGAATAGCTCCGGTGTGCACTGGTGCAGGCGCCAAATGAGGTTCAACGAGGTTCCGGAGAAGGTTCCGAAGGTTCCGGAGAAGGTCTGGGAGGCTTTGGTGCAGAGCCAGGCCAGGTTCAACAGGGTTCCGGAGAAGGTTCCGGAGAAGGTCCGGGAGGCTTTGGTGCAAAGCCAGGTCAGGTTCAACAGGGTTCCGAAGAAGGTTCCGGAGAAGGTTCCAGGAAGCCTTGGTGCAGAGCCAGGTCAGGTTCAACAGGATTTGCGGCCATTTAACTTACGGAAACCCAGCTGAGGTGTTTCCAGCGCTTGGCTTCGCAGCATGCTTCAGAAAGATTTGTAAAAATAAAACGTTGCGGCTGTTGGGGATACCGCCGAAGTTTTTTTTTTTTATCTGGACCGAATTTTGTTCGAGGGGGGAGAAACCAAGGCTTCGGTTCGAATTCGCAAGGTGTCCGTGTTTTTTTTGTCCATGGAGAACTTGGTTACAGCATTTAGCTGCAGATTCAGTCTTGACAAACTGGCGCAGATTGGAAGATCATAGTCACAGTTATCCACCCTGCCGCGCAAGGCCAAGGCAAAGGCGATTCTCACAGAGTGGTTCTCTCAGCATGGCGTCTACGCAAAACTTATAAGAGAAAAAGGTTGGGGGCAGCAGCAGCGGATCCTGTTCACTGATGTGGTCCCATGGATCAATGGTGAAATGATGATAGAACATATAAATTCATGTACAGTATATATACTGTGTATAAATATATATACATAATAAATGGTTTATACAAGTTTCAAAACAACACAGCGTTGAGCTAGGTGAGGTGTTTTCCGGTTGGCAGTTGAGAATCCCAGCGTCTCCGAGCAGCTTCACAAAGGACCAGCATGGCATTAAAACGCCATCCGCCGTGACCTGCCTCAGCTCGCTAGATATGATACAGATCAACCCGTGACCCCAACATGACGACACTCAACTCCCGCCGCAGTCCCTTTTGGTTGTCAGATTCAAAACTGCCAAGCGAGTCAGCTGTTTTGGAACTAGGTAAAACCAGCACAAAAGATGTCTTGAGCCCACAGAGCCCATGTGCCATGGCGCACCAGATTCCGGCGGGTTGCAAGGGTGGCGGCAAGGGCGGTTGGCCCGCGGTGCCGCACCACCAAGCAAACCAACCAGTGGTGTACTACGGGCAGAATGGTTTGGAAGTGAAAGGCGTGGAGTTGGGGCTCAACATGAAATCCCCGGATCCCCACATTCCCAGGTTGAGAAACGCGGATTTTTCCATCTTTTTCCACATTTTTTCAATGGCATTGCCCGTCCCCTGGTGGCTTGAGACAAGCCTATTCACTTCCTGCTGAAACCACCAAGATCTCCTGAACTCAGTCCCAGCATTCAAACCAGTTTGGGGTAAAACTTATGGAACAGCCCGAATTGAATGGCACTGAAAACAACCAGTTTTGTGGGTCTCGTTCTGTACGAAACTTTCACGTTTCAGGCCGGCGTCGTTTGGAAGATGTGGCCTTCGAGGCTAGTGGTTTACCCATCTCCGGCTGGTCTGCCCCAGCGTTGTGGATTGGTTACATTCCCATGTTCAATGGTCAACTACTGTCATTTACATGATCCTCATGGTTGGTGGCAGATATTCCCTTCTTGGCGACCACATCCAGATTACATCCACCAGTTTTGTTGGTAAATCGCTGTAAAGCGCTGCTGCGGTTGTCATTTCTGGTGATATTCCCATGATGGTCCAATTGCTTCCGGGAAAACATCTTTGCATGGTAAAACCAAGGTTTCCTGTAGGTTTTCCATCAAAGGACTCCAAGAAATATAATATAATATATAATTAGCATTTTTAATTATACAATAATATTGATTGGTTAATTCCCCGGGGTCTCAGCCCAGATGAAGGTTTGGTGCGCTTTCCGGTGCGGGTTCGGGCTGGGTGGTTTGGGTTTCGCTGTGGTGGTTCCGGTGTGGGTTCTCGTGTGGCTTCCGTGATGGCTTCCACCTGCGGGCTGGCGATACCACTTGGACTTATTTCCCAATTTTTACGGGTCAAATGTGCCAAATGTCGGCCTTTTCTATTTGCCAACAAACACCAGTGATCGGCCCACGCAACTTCTACCCCTTGTCAAAGCCATGCGTTGAGGATATTTTGGCGGAGCTCCAGGGACAGTTGACAGAGCAGTTGAATCAGTTCCATGGCGCAGTGAAGTTGTTCCATCTGGGCAAAATTGGGAGTTTCAGCCACGAACATGTTGGTGATATAACAAAGAGTCAAGACAAAAATATGTACCACTGAGAACTAGGACATGAAATATCATGAAATATGGGTACCACAAGGAGAAGAAGAAACATTGGTGATAAGAAGTGTTTTTTTTGTGATCCTGGCACGGTGGCACGGGCTGTGGGATGATCCGGACATATCCGGACTGAGGGCGGGATCCTCTGTGCCAGTGATCCAAGACCTGGACTTGTCTCAGAATAAACTCACGGCAGAGCAGTTCGAGGCGCCTGATGCTAAGCTCCGTTGATTCACAGGCAAGGAACAGTCTTGATATGTCTTGATCACCTTAAAGCCTTAAATGGCCTAGTATCAACCCTTCAGTCAATGCCCTGCTGCGCCCTGGTGGGTTTGATTGGGGGCTCTTTTTCAATGGCAGATGGTACTGGGTGCATGAAGTGGTTTTTGGGGCTTGAAGATTTCAGATTCTTACTGATCTTACTGTAACTACTTGGACTTCTTTGATCTTCTTTGTTTTTCCCTGCAGCCCGGGTTTCGCCAGAATCTCTTCGTCTCCCTGGGGGTGGCTTCAGCCAGGGTGCGTTGGGTCAGCGGGGGCAATCCTCGGATCCGAAGTATTTCGGGTGGGAGACCTGTGATGTTTCCATTGAGCGATTGCGGCCCGACCAATTTGATAGTTCGGGTTTTTCTGCCATAGTTAGCTGTTTGAGTCTGCAGCTGTTTGAGCATGCCTGGCCCTCTTCAAGTGGATAGTCTCCTCAGGCTGCCAAGCATATTTGATCCAGCATTGACTTGTTGTTGTTTGTTTTTCAATGTATTAGAAACACTTGTGTTTGTCTGAGATAGGGATCTTCCCGAATCCCATGGTTCAACATCATTTTCCCTTTGCATCTCCGTTCAATACCTGGCTGTGCAATCTTCTGTGGGCTCTTGTGAAAAATGGGCAGGTGATGAAAAACCAGTCAAAAACGTTGCAAGCCACTTAGGAAACGGAAAACTCAAGGGGGACGTACTATGTACTGCAAGCCTAGTTCTGAACAAGTTGTTGACTGGGAAACCCATCAAACAGTTCATTTGGGAGGTGAACACATTCTGAAACCCATTGCATCTGTCAGTGCCCTAGCAGCACGACTTCGATTGTCCATGCGGATCAATTGAAGCTGAAGGCAAATTGAACAATCAAACATTTGGGCCAGGAATCGGTTTCAAGCAACCAAAAATGGCCGAAAACCCCATAATCAATATTAAAAACCACCACGATCAATAGCACTAGCAATAGTATAAATAGCGAAAACAATGGTTTCGTATGGATTGGTTTTCACTTGTTTTCCATTGAATCTACCCAGTGAGGGGTCCAGTCCTGGCGGTTCCCGGCCAGGTCGTGCGCTTTCGGCTCTTTGGGTGTCCCACCCTTGACGACCAGGTAGGGGTCCAACATGGTCCAACCACATCCAGCGATATCCCCCCAGACCAAACTCTGGTGCAATGCATTGGATCATCTTGGGTTGAATTGAGGCCCCTCATTGGGGATCTTTGATGGTTGAGGTGATGCTCCTTTTGGCTGAGTACCTGCGTGGGTCAGGGCACCCAGCAACCTTCTGCGATGCAGATCTGCTGCAGCAACACCGGGCCCGAACCAAGGAACCTGAGCAAGGAGACTGCCCCGGCAGAGATGTTGGGGAAACCCAGCCAACGCGGGTCAACAAGACTCCCAGATAGTGGCCATACCCTCGTACCCATGGTCATGCGAACATTGCATTTTTGGCACATAGATTTTCAGCATGTCAACCAAACCGACCCCATCCTCCAATTTTTCAGTCATACCCGCCATTGTGGGGTCCCAAGTTATTCGCAGCCAAACCCTGCACAGTGCCGTGCAGTTTGCCGGGCCGCCCAAGGCACCTTTCGGATTGTGCCATCACTGCTGAGGGTTTTAAACACTTAATGGCGGTGATTGAGGAGAGCGATGTGTGCCCTCCTGTGCTGATGCAGATCGGTGAGCGTTTTATTTTGAGGTTCCAAAAAAGGAGGAGCCCAAGAACTATAGCTTCCCCACTCAAACCAATTTGATACCAATTTGGTGGATCATTTAGGGACCAGACCATTCTAAGAACCACTCAGCATATGGAACCCAATGGCTTTAAAGGCAAATCCTCCTATTCGAGAAGTCAATTTTCGTGGGCCACCTAGAAGCTGCAGATGAGCATCAAACATCCCAAACAGTCATTGGTATTGGAACGACCCTGGGATTTCTTCCAACAGATGGGAAATGGACTCTGATGAACATTGATTTTCCCACTCAAAACAGTCACCGTTCATGTTTGTCAGCGGTCAAGAGAGCCAGGTATCCGCTGAAGGATGAGAGACGTCCGGATCAAGGTGCAGGGTTCTCCTTGCGCATGGCATTTTTTTTCTGACAGGACGAGGAAGTTATTCAAAATCTACGGAATCTATGTTTTACTTTGCCAGTCTGAGAAACATATATGTATATGGTCAGGGGGTTGAATAAGCTTTCAATGTTTGCATCAACAGCACCCATGCTCTCAGAGAAGACCTTGGTATTTCAGAGGAGCATTCTCACTTGTGGAGCGTTGGCAGGTTGGCCGCTCTACTTGCGGCTTGAGAACAACTACATCAGCAATGTGCGCCAACCTTTCCACTGGAACCGGGAAGTGGAGCAGATTGGAGCAGATTGCCAGCTTTAAGCCACTTGTCATGTCAAATTGTCTGAATCTCGTCTGCGCAATCACAAAACGGTCCCGTTGGGACGCTTGGGACCAGGAGGCAATTCAGGAGAAGATCGACAGTGGATTGATTCAACTCTTCACCAAGCAGTGGGGTGCCAAAAAGCCGGAAGACCCAGTTGGGGAGCAGCACAAGTGATACCCAGGAGGTGAGGAAGGCACTAAACTCAACACGAGGTGATCATCCAGTTTCCCCTGTTCGGTTGCTGTAAATATCTAGATGCCTATTCAATCCTCTTCATAGAATCCTATGATCCCATTTCATCTTATTTATATATAGTGACGGACAATCACTTAGAACGTATTTTGGAAAATTTTTTCTGAATATTACTGCTTTTTTTTACGTTCTAAGCCTTGCACTTAGAACGTCGAAAACCATACACTTAGAACGTCCAAATATCAAGATTCATCACTTAGAACGTACCGGGGATTTAACACTTAGAACGTGTCTAGGTCACTGATGATAGTGGAAAGGCTTGTGAAATCATGTTGCCGCACTCAGCGAAGCCACTCAGGGACCAAATAGACATGTATTGGTGACGCACTTCAAGAAGCTATGTATATATATATATACGTGTGCATACATATGCTGACAATTGTTTACAAGTGCATACATGCAGTACATATAGAGTTCCAAGGGCTTTGTCCAAACCACAACACTCCCCCTGCCGCATTGCCGGCCATGGCTGCGTCATCTGGTAATTGTGATATCATATGGTAATTGTTCATAATTATAGTGGCGGACAATCACTTAGCACGTTCTAAGTGTTGGTTTACGTTCTAAGTGATAAATGGGCCTAAGTGATATTTTGACGTTCTAAGTGATGAATTTTCCCTACGTTCTAAGTGATGAAATTTTGCTACGTTCTAAGTACGAAAAAAAAAATGGAAAAAATTTTACGTTCTAAGTGATTGTCCGTCACTATAATCCAATTGATAAAACATATCATGTATATATATATACATAGATATGATATATATATATATAGATATGATATATATATATATACATGACATGACATGACATGACATGATATTATATATATATAATTATATCATCATCCAGGGACCCATGGCCCAGCTGAACCCATGGCTGAGGGGGCCAGCTGACGGAGCCAAAGTGAATCTGCTGGGGGAGGCTGTGGATGCTTCAGCAGCTGCTTCTTCCCCACATCGACGACATTTGGGCTGGGTTTGTCCAACCAAAATTGCCATTTCAATGGAACAAATGATGAGAAACCCGGGGATTTTGGGGGTACATATCCTGAAAACTCAGACAAACCCATATCATACTGTTGTTGGTATGATGTTCTATGATCATTTGAACAAAAATCCAATGATTACATCCCAATATATGCGCCATTGTATTCCCAATATTTCAGAAGTACCCTCCGTTGAGTTCGATGATTTTCCCAGCTCTACAGCTCCATTTAGCTAGTTCGATGACTTCCGACAGGACTGGAACTTTCGTCAACGAAGTGGCAAGCCGCCATCACCTGAGGCGTCCCCATCTGCAAGTCGCCAGATCCCAGTTTTGGCAGTTACAGACGTTACAGATAATCAGCCTAGCTCAGAAAACCTGGACGGTGATGTGTTCGTTTTGTTTTTAATCATGGGATTTCATAAGGATTTCACAAGATCTTAACTTATCTTAACTTATGAGATTTCATGGGAGTTTCAGCCTGGCGCCACGATTTCGTTGCTGTTTGGCTCACAGCGTAACGAACATCGTTGCAGACTGCTGGGAGGCGCCCAAGCGGGGCTCAAGACGCAAGGGAGTGTCAATTTAAGGGGTTTACACAACAGATGATGGGGCTGGATGATGATATATTAATATATTACATATTATATATATTACTACTATAGATAGATATACATAGATATACATATATATATATATTCATACATAGATATTACTATCTATCTAGCTAGCTATCTATCTATATGCATATTACATATTACATGATAGATTATAAGATCGATCAATATGTTTTACAGAATCAAGCTTACTCCAATCTAATTGTGCGGCGATGCGTCCCGCTGTGAAAGGTAAGGAAGAAAAGATGGAGCAGTCCGGCGCCGAGGAATGATGACTTCTAGAAATACGAAAGGGAATCACCTCCACAAAAGGATCTGTGTGTGTCTATCCAGTGGTTAGCAGGGAGCTAAGGAGCTAGGGGTATTCATATTCCTTATATATTCCCTATTCAATGGGGAGCCAAGGAGCTACTTAGAGTTTCCCAACCATCTAACAGGTGTTTATATCGGATTCAACCAACAACGGGGATATATTGGCATACGACCAACTATTATAGACAGACACATCAATTTCAAAACTGCGGAAGCCATGATTGTTCAAATTTTCATGATAGCTCCTTTCAACCACACGGTTGTGTCTGACAATAGGGCACCCAAGAATCCAATGATTCATCATCATTTCACACCTTAAAATTGTTCTATATGCGATAGACGCCGAAAATCACATTAAGTTGGTTACTGTATAGGTATTGTATAATATCTACATACATGTGTATATCCCCGTTATACCCCCCAAAATATTCGGATAAAAAATCCCAGAGAATATTCCACCGATTCCCCAATCTAGCTGTTTAATGTTGATGATATGTTTTTCTATACTATAGCAATTCAACCCAATACCACCCAAGATAACCCAACATAATCCAATATGATAATATGACCATCATAATCCAATATCACCAACATAATCCAATATGGTCAAGATAATCCAATATTTCACGAACATATAATCAACATATAGCCAACATGAACCATATATAGATAGATAGATAGATAGATAGATAGATAGATAGATAGATAGATAGATAGATAGATAGATAGATAGATAGATAGATAGATAGATAGATAGATAGATATATATATATAACTTGGTTCTGTATATATATATATAACTGGGGATATATAGGGCTTTCACATTAAGATATCCCCAGTTCTCATAGGGTTCAGCCCGATGAAAAAATCGATCGATCCGAGGTCGAAACGGGTGTCCTTCTCTGAGGATCCAAAGAAGTCCACAGTGAAGGTGGGACTAACGAAACAATGGGACTATTGTGGAATGTTCTTATATTGTATAATACATAATATATATATATATATGTATATTATATATAATATAGTATATATATATATATACACACACATATGGAAACAACTTAACATGTTTTTCGGTGTATTGTTTAGTCCAACCATCCCAAACCTTGGATGCTGAGGCCTCAAAGGGCCCTGGTGAGAAGTGGAAAGTTGGGCCTCAATACGAAGTGAAACAGCTCATTGGGTCCGGGCCCCAATGGGATTTGAGCCATGACCTCCAGTCACCAGTCCCCCTGTGCCGCAGCCGTTTTCAAACCGCGTTGCTCCCAGGACCGGCTCTTACGGTAGCGTCTGTGAAGCCTTTGACACCTCCAAGAGGTGTTCGGGGCACCCAGCGGAAGGAATTTGACAAAGTGACATTCGCGGGAAATGATCATAAAACATGTTTTTTTTTTTGGTACCCCCGTTTCAGACACACCCAGATGTTCGGCCTCTTCTCTCTTCCAGGGTGTTGGAACTTTCTCTGCACTATGCTTGTTTTGGGTAGAGATCCTAAGTTAAACCAAGTTGAGCAGAAAATTGATAGCTGCGAGTGAACAAAGATGGGAAAGATGGCAATGGAACTTTCTGATTTGCAAGTTGGACCTTGAGGTTATGATGGAAGCTCGCCACAGGTTGAGGAATTCAGTAGCTTACCATGTTTTCCGCTACGTATGGGTTTGCTGAAAATAGGGTGCACCATACATTTGCTGGTTAATAATCACTTTCTGCAGTAAAATTGCCTTTTTGGGAGCGATACCTAATTTTCAAACACATCCAAAATCTTATTAAGTGGTTGGCATATCCCATAAAATATTCTCATAAACAATCCCCATAACATGCCCCATTGTTTTCCCATGATAGTTTCACCATGTTTACCCAAAGAAATCCCTTTGGGACACTAACGCGCGTTGATAGTGTCAGAGCCAACACTCTGAGGTTTGGTTGCTGTCAAGCGTATTGGGTGGGCTTCCCAGTCAGTGTCATCGCCACTTCCACGCCCCAACAATGGGGCTTGAAACAATGCTAAACAAGCCCCAACAAGGGTGAATTTGATGGAGCCGATAATGAGCCAATATTTTTTCCATTGGATTTTGAGGATCCCAGATTTGGATAAACAAAGTGACTGTTGCAGGTTCTGGGAGGTCATTCTGAAACGGATAATTTCCAAGCACACTTCTAAGATTTGCTATCTGGTAATTTACCATAGCTATGGAACATGTCATGTCCCATTACTTCGAGCATTTGCCGATGATTTCCATGGTGATTTTTGATAGCAAACTCCAAGGCACATGTTCGAGGATTTGGTGGATTGTCCGGCTGGCCTGATGGGAAGGGAACTCAAAGTTCAGCAGTGCTGAACATTTTTCTTCAAAAAACAGCAATAAGTTGTTTCATATGGGGGTTTCCCCATTTGTCCCCAAGTGCTTTTGTCCATTTGTGTTGTTTCGTATGGGGGTAAACCCGACGCGCCAGGCAAACGCATTCTGCGAGAGATTGCCATCCTCTCGAAGCTCAAGCAGCTGGGATTTTAATGGGATTTCAGTCACCCAAAATGGCAATTGAAAATGGGGAACCCATAGTTTTCCCCATAGTTTTCCCCAGATAGTATTAGTATTGGATTAGATACCATGAATACCAAAATTACTATATACATAAGTCGGATGGGAAATCACCCATCTAAAAACCATCAACCACCAGGAGATTTTGACCAGGATTGATGGTAGATATATCTATAGTTACTGGTAATGAATGGTAATGTCATAGTAGGATTTATGGTAGATACAACCCAAATGCGGCCATTGAAGATTAAAACATATGATGATTAAGCAGTGGATATGAGATATATCACCATTTTTAGGCAAGCCCATGATTCGTTTCTTACCAGCTGCGTGCATGATGAATCTAAACCTGATTAGTCAGGGCAGATTATGTTGAAAGTCTGGAGTGAAGGGTTGACTTGCCAAGATCACTTGTAGACAGACCGCTCAGAGTAAACCCAACGAACAACTCCAATATTTGAAGGTTTGATTGAAAATCTGACGGATTGAAATCAAGACTACCTATAGGTGTGGTCTGTCTCTGGCATTACCCACTAGGGATTTGTTGTAAACATACCGTCACTGGTATGGTAGCAACCTCGGCATCAGCATCAAGGCATGAATACATCGTCCGACTCTACGATATTGTCGGGGAGCCTTTTTCCAAATTTTGGGCCGACTGATTTGGGCCAGCTGCAGTAAACACATGCCAGGGTGGAGGGGAAAGTCCCGAAGAATACCTTCTTTTTACTAGCTGATATTTTTAGTTTCTTATTTGGTAGATCGATGGTTTCGATTTTTGGCTTTTCTATCCCTGTTGGGATGATCTATGCCACCAAAAAAAAGAGGATTCGAGTTGAAGCCACGAACCCTTCCAGCCACAACGATTCACAACATCTGCACGGCTACACCAAAGGTTGCACCTGTCAACATGGCCAAATTCGATGAGCTGTACCTTGTCCGTTGACCCAGCTGATGTGGCAGGCCGGCAGTGATGGCCTTGGTCCGCCCCACCACAGGAAAAAAGATGTGAGTTGGCACTCCACAGGAAAAAAGATGTGAGTTGGCACTCCATTTTTTGGGGTCAAAAAAGTCCTTTCACAGACTCAAGGGTGTCTTTGTCGAATGTGTGATTCATAGAGGGGTAATCTCTATCGAATGTCTCCAGCTTTGCCCCATTCCTGCAGGTTTTGTGGACCTTTCTGGTCATCCGCCAAGGTCATGGAAATCTGTGACTCCGATTTGAAGAAGCTCTGTCGAACGGCCCGGCACTTGGGCATTGAAATGGGCACAGCTTGGGTATCCCCAGCGGTGATGCGACGATGTAACATGGCATCCTGAGGATGTGAGCCTCACACCCTTGCACATCAATACCCTTCTCTACAACCTCTTGGTGGGTATGAAGCTACTTGGCTGAGTGACTGAAAGGTCATCTTGCTGTCCTTATCTTTTCCTGGGACACCCAAAGAACTACATGTTTTGAAGGCCAGAGGATGGGTGTCAAATCTCAATACTAGATCCTACATCGGCATCAATCTTGATGAGACTATGAAGAAAGCATCGTCAGATGGTTGCCAAAACTATGGAATTCCAGTTCACCTTCAAGTCCGAAGATGTGAGTCAACTGCATCTGCAGCTGGTTTTTACCGCTTTCCCCTTTGGGATTGTTCACCATTTTGATGGCTCCCCCATGTTCCCCCCTTTTTTTAAGGCAGTTCATGGGGAGTCTTTCGCAGGTATCTACACTCTGCAGGGATCTATCATCGAGATCTCAAGCCCGCCAATTGCTTGGTGAATCAGGCCGCGACCCAACACCCGCAGGTCATTGGCAGTCCACTGGTTAGGTATTTGGACGATCCCCGAGTGTCACTGGTTAGGTCTTTCCATGGGGGCCTAGATACAAGTGCGACCCGGGATGTGAAGCGACGCCAGGACTGTTCCATCAAGATTTGCGACTTCGGACTGCAGGGGGGCTCAAGTGGAAGCCACGGAGGTATCAACTTCGTTGGAAGCCACTGGTTTTTTTTGGGTTCCACTGGCGCATGGCTGCGACACGGGATCTATGAATTTGGCTCACCAAAGAGCAACATCGGGGTTTCATATCATTTCATATCCCTTGCTGAGCATACCTTACCTAATTCCATCCCTCAAATATCACCCAGAAAGCCATGGTTTAGTGATCCATTCCTTTGGGGCCACAAGGGGTAGCGGGATGGGATTCGTTCAGCAGCACATCGCCATGGTAAGCCATGCCCCTGGACGATGGATTTTCAACACCAAAAAAGTGGATTTCCTCATTGAAAGATGATGTTCCCATAGGATTTACCATAGGATTTCCCATATGTTTCATGATTTTCATGGGAATTTCCCATCTTTGATCACCATTTTGTGGGTTTTTTGGTGGGTTTTTTGTGGTCGTTCCAAGGTCCAGGGCCATTGGAGAAGCCCATGCAGTCGAGGACAGCCTGATGGAAAGCCTGATATCATGGGAGAATATGGGATATACTATGCGTAATGGTTTTCATAGGGATATATAGTGGGATACATAAAGTGATACAATCATATTGTGCGATGTAGTAGGATGAGATATTTTCTGGGATATTCTGATATGGCAGAAGAAAACACCAGGGATTTTCTTTGGCACACAATTTTTAACAGGGACCATGTGGATTTTCCCTGTAGATTTCCCTCTAAAAAACCACCAGGAGCCAGGAGAGCAAGTGAATACGCAGAAGCTGAAGAGGTGGGAAATCGCTCCAGCCCCGTTGACACCGTTGACACCGGACCTTCAGTTGATGGTTGGAAAACGCACCAAAGATGTGGATACTAACCATCTAGTAACCATCAACCACCAGGTGATTTAAGCATAACTTTGCAGCATAGGTGGTGATTTGACCATCAGTCGTGATGTGATATGCTCCCGTGTCATCAAACACGACTGGACAATCCTCCATTTCTAGGGGATTATCCCAGTCACATCTTCATTTAGTTACACTCTGGTAAACTAACATAGCTATTGAAAATCACCATTTTTAATGGGTAAATCCACTATAAATGGCCATTTTTAGTAGCTATGTTAGTTTACCAGAGGGTAGGAGATGTCCTATTGCCATGTGTGACCAAACCGGAGGCTAGTGATTTTTCACCATCACTGCCCTCGTTGGATGAAAAGCATCAACATGTGCTACTCCGTGGAGCCAGATGGGTGGTTTCACCAGGCTTTTTTACAATTTTAGTGGGATTTCACTTTAGTTTTTCTTTGGGGGTTACCATGATATTAACTATAATATACTATAATGGTAATTAACGGATTCCCATAATATGCTAGTTAAATGTAGTTACCATGATATTAACAAAAAAAGCAGTGAAATCCCTCTAAAATTGCAGTAATTCTCTGATGGATTTTCGATGCGGGAAATCCAGATCTGCGATCTGCGGAGGTTTCTGACTGGTCACGTGGTGACTCGATGGTACCGTGCGTCGGGCAGACCAAGTCGCGTTCAAGGTTGTCGCGTTCAAAAAACTGGGCTGATCTTGAAATGCTGTCTGGAATGGAAAAAGTAGGCAAAAACCATCAAGAAACCACCAAGATTGCATCTTTACCATAGCAAAAAGAAAAAAGAACAGAACCCAAGGCTCAGGGAACAGTTTGAACACCTATCCATCATCATCCAGTACCTACCTATACTATCCGAAGTGTTTAAGCATGTGTGACTCCGACTTGGAACTTTCAGGGAAAGTCGGAGAGTTGGGGATTAGAGCCAGTGCCCCGAGGCCAGAGCTCATCCTGCTCCAGGATAATTACACTGAGGCTGATGACAGGATGAAGAATCCCAGACTCCAAAAAAAATCGAAGACTTGAACATTTCAGATAGACTGGTTCTTTTTCTTAAACTCTTAAACATGGGATGATCCTCCTGGAATGACCACTTTGTTTCTTTGTGGTACGAGCACGAGCCAGAAGCATCATCCATCGCCGATCTGGGCGACCTCCGTAGCCCAGATCGATCAGCAAGCTGATGGCATGCCCCCAGCTGTTTCCCAGCAAAAAACACCACTCATGTGCAGGAAATTCTGTCAGATATGTCCTCTATTTGTATTGAATGATTGTTTGTTGGCCATGAATCAAAAAAGGTCTATTGACTCCACTTGGCGATTGAGAGAGAAGGGCACCATTTAGTGTTTTTGATATCCCCCCAGAAAACCATGAGTGGTCTGATGCAGACCCGAACTGGCAGAACTGGCAGGGGATTCCTGGAGGTTACCCATATGAGGCCTCTATCATTGACCTGTGCCCTGCAGGCCATTGATGTGTGGTCCATTGGCTGCATCTATGCAGAGTTGTTGGGCATGCTGGAGGGGAACAAGATGGAGGACAGAGCACCAGACCAGTCTTCCTGTCGCCTTCAAACAGCGTTGTCTTGTTGAAGTATGCAAATCATTCGGGAAAGGGCTGATGCTGCATAAAGTTCAATGAAGGATCCACAGGCTGAAAGGTTTCGCGCTTCCATTTGGCTTTCGTACCTGAAAATGGGGGATCTACTTGCAATGCTTGGCCATTTTTTTTACATCATCAAAATGTGGGGCACCATATTTTCAGAGAAACCAATGTCTTGCCCACTATCCCAACCTTGGCTGTTATCTCAGCCACATCCATCCGCTGACAGGACAGGGGGCCGTTGTTTCCTGGTTCTTCCTGCTTTCCTCTCTCACCAGACCACAAGCACAAGCGGGGAAAACTCAGAATGATTCCGGATCTGGGGGAGGGTCAATACCTGTGGCCAAACAGGACCATCGGAATATGGGGATAAACATCCAGATCCCTGCCTGCTATTTTGAAGGGTACGAGGGTGAGTCCCATACCCATGGATATGGATAGATTTTAGAGGTGCCGTTTGTCTTCGCCCCAGTTGTTTTTTACTCATCACTGTGCGCCGCCGAGGACTGACTATCGATATCACACCAGAGGGAAACATGATCAGTTTGCCAACTCAGCACATGGTGAGTCTTTGGATGCATCTTTCCGGTACTCAAACATGCCTAGAACATCCCCAAGAAAGTTCGATGGTTTTTCCCCTAAAACCACTATTTTTTTTTTGCAGCTTGCCAGGTTTGATTTCTGAAGGGTTTGTGTATTTTGTTTGCATTTGTAGCATGGATGGCAAAATGGTTGCTACATGTCACGGGGGTGGGTTGGCATCTGAGGCTGAACATGATCTTCAACCTCTTGGGCACTCCGACAGAGGCTGAGCGTGGGCTTCCTCGTTTGCAATAGAATATGGATATTTCAAAGAGACAACTCACAAGAATGGGAATATGATTGAACATGTCATATTCAATTTACTTCAGGATGAATATACATATGCAGTATATATATATATATACGTATATATATATGTAATATGATATATAGTATCATCACCAACGTTTATCTTCTTGCCTGGTTTTGATCCGTTTCTGATGTGAACTCCTTCATCGCCAGGCTGATATCAATCTCTTGGAAAGGGAGGATGCCCGAAGGCCGCGCGACCCAGTGGGTCATTGTGATCATTGGAAATGGTCATGGCTTCCGGATATGTTATGTTCCCATGTTGTCACCATGTTGTCACAATGAACATGGCCACAATTGGGAATGGGTCAAAACCTCTTATTACCATATTTGGGAGAATAAATAGCCATAAACCAGCTATTGTAGGGTACCTAGGGTACCAGGGTCTTGACTCATTCCGAATTGGCAAAGTGGATCCATGGATCGCCAGGTACATCAGATGTTTCGCCGCGCGCGAGGGTGATGGCATCAAGTCCAAGTTTCCGCAGGTGGACGACGACTGTGTGGACATCTTGGACCGCCTCGGTGAAGGGTGGAGGTGAATCATTGGATTGGTGGGAACATCACCGGATGACTGGGCTTGGAGTGAAGAGAGCTATGGCAGCTATGGTTGTTGGGATAGCATATTCAAAATCAAAGGGTAGAGAACTAGAATCAGTTAGAGCTATTTCTTCCGGAGATGAAACATCACTGTGGTTCAATAGTGGCCTGAAAAGGCGATATATTTATCACTGGATTGGTTTAAGGGAAAATTTACAGGAAAGCCCCATATTTAATGGGAAAATCTATGGTTTCCTGTAGATTTTCCCTTAAACCAATCCATTGAATTTATCACTGGTTCAATGTCACTGGTTCCATATCCAGGACAAGATGCTTCGTTTCAATCCCTCGCAGCGCATCAGTGTGGCAAAGGCGGTCACCGGGTGCTGGTCATCCCATGTCGCCGTCAGTTTATCCATGGGAAACCAGCCATGGATGCTGTGAAGAATACAATACAGATGACCTAAATCGTGGTGGTCACGTCATCTTTGAAGGCCACTTCCCCTATTTTTTGGAGGATTTGAAAAGCAAAAGTTCGCTGAGAATAGGTTGAGCAATGATTTCTTAGGTCTTCAGGCCTGATCTCTCAACTTTTTAGCTTGATCCACCTCCCAGAAAGATCTGCATGGATTTCCCATCCGAAAACTCTTGGTTGGCTATATACCGTACATGTACCCCCATGCTTGTTCGAACCGCGCTTCTTCTCAGCTGTGCATGTTCGGCACATACCTGCCGCCATTTTCATGATTGGTGCTTCATCAACTTCTGAATTTTGTTATAATTTGATCCCACCATTTTGCAAATGTTTTGAACTTTTTGGCTGCTGTGTTTTTCCATTCCTTTTCCACATTTCTTGCTGGCAATGATCTAATTCTCCAGGCTTACTGCACCGATCTTCAACGCTGGTAGAGCAACCCCCAGAGAGAAAAGTTAGATACCAAACGATTGGCACAATAATTCTACATATATGATAATTATTGGCATAATAATACCAAACTATTGGCACATCGAATCTTCTCCGCATCTGGTGCGTTTTTTTTCGTTCATCCCATTGGCTACCCAGGCGTTAGAGCATCCACTCTTTGAAGCCTCCATCCGGGATAAGTCGAAGGAGGCGGCTGGTCCAACAGACATGTGGCCATTGAAAATGCTCATTGGGTCTCCAACTCGCAGAAATTCACACCTATAATATATATATAATATTATATACATATACATATATACATATTATATATATATATTATAAATATTATATAATATATTGTAGATATGTACATTCTCTACATATATATATATATATATATATAATCCACAGTGATTCAACACTTCTCTCCCTTCTCACCGATTCTGGCGTTCACGAGCCAGTCGTGTCCAGGTGACTGCGTCAGAACACGTGTCCTTGGATTTTGAGAAGGAACCTGACCTGGACGAGGCCCCAAAATCACCACAGTTTGACGGGCGAAGTCCCATCGAAAATACGACTGCAGTCAGTAGTCTTTTTGACGAAACGCTATGCATATTTATGCCATAAATGTCCATAAATGGTTGGTGAAGTAGTTCTAATTCAGTGAAATTTGGGAGTTGGGGACCGCGACCTGGTAGGGACTTTTTCGAAGCAGGGGATGAACATCGAACCATACATCGAGCTCGTTTTTTGGCTGTGAACTGAGCCATTTAAAAAGGGATACGTCGAAAGTGGCCGCAAAGTTTTGAGTACATAAAATAACATATTTATATGCTGTACACATAATATGTGTGTATATATATAATATATATATATATATACATAAAGTATAAACACACACACAGACACCCATATTTAGGGTTCCTGAATTATTGAATGATAAGTTATTTGCAGAAGGGCAAGATCTTCGGTGAGATTTTCACTGTGATTTATTGCTTCCAAACCACATCACATCACATCACTCATTTTCCTGATTCTGAATTGTCCCACCCCGTGCAACTACTCACAGAAGGATCCCAACCAAACAGCTGCAACAAACATGTAGCCGCTGTAGCCACTGGAGCTTTCCATCCCCTTTCCGCGCCAGGGATTGCTTCGGAAGTATTTCTGTAAAGAGTCCGGGCGCCCAGCCGTGGCACCTCACTGTGGACGTGTCAACCCTCTCGGGCAGAATGGATTGGATCCAAAAAAACCAAAAGTTTGGGGCGGATTCTGGACTGGACAACATTTGAACCAATTTTTTCACAACTCGATCAGTGGATCTCTGGATCGACCTTTTGGGCTTTGAATTGACCTGGGTTTTTCCGGGATCCCCGGGTCAGCGACAGCGCCAGGGTTCAAAAGTACCACCCAGAAGTGATGGAGCCTTGAGAGGCCGGCCCTGCAGGCGATGTTCATAGGAGGTCTGGGCCATCAATGGAGGTTGATCTGACAATACGGTACCCCGGTACCCCCAAAGTTGACGGTTTATTTCACCATCAAGGACATCTTATCATCAGGATGGAAAAAAATGTTGTCTCCTATGAACCATATAAATGGTTCAACGGAAAGGTATAGATGGCAAGGATAAATGATGGTGAATGATGATAAATTCTGAAAAAAAAACATCTATACAGCTGTGATACTTGGGATAGGATCAAATACATATATATATATATGTATACACATTAGTTCAGGAAAGGAATTGAAGTTCCGCTGACCACTTGGTTTGACGTGGTATAGGCAACATTTTTTTTGGAATTTCTCCGGCAGTTTCACTGCAAGGTTCAAGATTAGGGCCCCTGTGACGGATCACTGAACTCATAGATCCGGTCCAAAGGGTCTGGGAGCAGTGCCTAATTTGAAGAAAGCATCGGTTTGATGTTTGAACCTACTAAAACCATCTCTCGAGTCTCGTTTCCTCCCAGGCTTGGTGGCAGGAAGCTGCTGCCCCTTTGTGTAGAAGAAGTGGGTCCAACGTAGTCCACCCGGCTCTGTTCTTTTCTTTAGAGACCGCGTTCATGCGGTGCACCATGTTGCTTAAAACAGCTAAACATTTAGTAACACATTTTTTTGTAAACGTTAATTACATATATATATATATGGTTTTTGTTTGAGAGTCATATAGTCACATAATCTATCAGCAATCATCACCAAATACTTGTGATGATCTTGTTCCACTTCGAACGTCTTGGGCCTGGATAGTGTCTGAATGAACTTCTTTGTATGTGCCAAGTGATTTGCGCTTTGTCATGTCAAGTTAGAAACTGCGTAGCACAAGGAAGAACAACAACATTTTTCTATGCCAATGAAAGAGCTAGTGTCAGCCCAACCTCGACAAATCTGTTGAGTTGGGATCTGCTGACAACTGGGCAACCCACGTCGTGCTGCTGCAGAGATAGCTGATATATTCATCGTGGCAATCAGTTTCCTGAAGAAGTGAACCTTCTATATTTTTAACATATATATATATATACTCCAACTATGCAGCTAGAGTTGGAAAATGGTGTTCAGAGAACGATCTTCTTTCATATATCAACTTTTCAATAGGCAAAAACCTGGATTTGGTTGGATATATGACTGGACAGTAGATCTGCTCCAGCCGCTGCAGTGGCACAGAGGAACCGATGCTGACATCGGAATCGTTCGCCGCTTAGGGGCTGGGATGCCTTGGATTTGTGGAAGCTGTGTTGTCCCTGCGTGGTTTGGGATGGTTTATTCTTGGGCTCACCATACCCTCTGGTAAACTCACATAACTATGGAAAATCACCATTTTAATTGGTAAATCCACTATAAATGGCCATTTTCAATAGCTATGTTAAATTACCAGAGGGTACATCCTGAACGACTGTGAGATCCTTCTTCGAATCATCACCGCCGTCGAAGTCATCGTCATTGTCACCATTGTCATCATCCTCACCACCATCACGATGGCCAACGCCATCACCATCACCATGTGGCTATGACCATCATGATCATTTATTTCTCCGTCCTTATGTAAGTCGTTCGTTCCTGTCGTCCCTCACCCACTTACCAATTATTCGAGTCGCTTCGCGATGAGAACCGCCCGCACCCAGGAAATTTGACGGAGAGGAAAGAAGCGGGCCTACTTGGCCCAACCAAAAGCCGACTGGGTCAAACTCGGCCGTCCTTGGCCTGAAGTTGGGCCGAACAGGAGCCCACTTGGGCCCAAGCTGGGCGTAAAACTTGCGCCCAACTGGAGCCCAACTGGGGTCCAACATGGCGCAGCTTGGGCACGTTTGGACGCAAGTTGGGCACATGCGCAACTTGGTCCTGTGCGGGGGCATCTGGCCTCGAAGTTGGGCCCAACACAAGCCCAACATGGGCAACATGGCTTCGCACGAAACCCCATCAAAGCCAAAAAACGTTGGAAAAAGCGGTAAAAATGCAAGTTTTCAGCGTGTCGCATTGAGTCCGCAAAATTGGCTCGGGTTGAACAGTTGGGCCCAGCTTGGCTTCGGGGGCCCCACCTGTCCCAAACTTGGGCCCAAGTTGCGCTGTCTTGGACCCAACTGGCACCCAAGTTGGCGCCCATTGGTCATAGATGGATTCCAAATTGAAGCCATGCGATGCGCATGGAAGTCCAAGTCAATTCTAACATGCCGCAACTTGCGAGCTTTGGCAGCGTCTTCACACCAAGTTGGGCCCAATGGAGACAACATGGAGAACCTTGCTTCAAACGAAGCGCCATCGATAGCAAAAAAGCTTGGAAAATACAGGTGAAAACGGGCGTTTTGAAGATTTCGGATTGGGCCGGCTATGCCTCCCATTTGAAGCCATATGGACGTCAACTTGGTCTGAAGTTGCTCCCAAATGGGAGTCACTTTGGGGCCAAGGTGTGCCATCTTGGAGCCAAGTTGGGCCGAAGTTGGGGCCAAGTCGGCAAGTTGGGCCGAAGTTGGGGTCATTCTGGCCGAAGTGGACCCAAGTTGGGCCAACGTTGCGGCCATGTTGGATCGAAACGGTCCATCTGGACGATTTTGGGCCGATCTGCGAACTGTGCAAATTACCAGTCCTGTGCGCTTTTTCGCGCCTTGTCCCAGGCGAACATGGCCCCCCCATTTGTATCATTTTCACCTTCAACTTCAGCATGACAACACTCAGTTGGACGTGGACATACATTGACATTGAAGTGATAGCCGATTCATCAATGCTGGTGCCCGGTGCTATGTAGCTCTCACATCCTTGTACCATTCCGTGTGCCAGGCATTATTTTTTTGATCTCATACAGCTTGCCATCTTTGCATGATTTGAGTCCCAAATCCAAGGGGCTCGCGGATAGCATTTACCGATCCTCACATGGGGGGTGGGGAGCGGGCCGCAACCAGCGCAGCCCAGCATGGCCAAAACCAGTTTCTTATTTCGCTGAGTGGAGGAGAAGTAGAAATTCAACCATGAGCAGAATTATTGCCAGCCAGATGGCCAGAGGGTAAGGATTCTTTCACAAATATGGAAAGAAACGAGTGTCATGGCGATCATGAAGTCTCCTCTCCTTTGCTCGGTGCTCGCGACATGTGCCACTGAGTGGGGCATGTAGGAAGATGTGAGCGTTGCTGTGAAAAGTCCTGCGGCTCCACCGAAAAGCAGCCCTAGGCCCTAGGTCTCATGAAGCTGTCTGTTCAACGCACATCAAAACTGTCCGTTGAAAATGGCGAGGGGCACTCAGGAAATTGGGGATCTTCACAATTTATATAGGTCTGAGAAAAAAACTGCAGCATTGAAGTAGATCTGAGGGCCTTGTCGCCGTGGATACCCTCTGGTCAGCGAACATCGCCATGTTGAATAGGTAAATCAAAAGTAAATCATCTGTCAAATGGGCAATTTTCTATCATCATCTATAGTTAGATAATCTATAGTTATTTTCTATCATCATTTTCTATCATTTTCTATCATTTTCTATAATTTTCTATCATCTATCTATAGTTAAATGGGTCATTCCGCAGCGATGTTAGATCACCGAGTGTAGTCCCCATGAACCAACCTCTTCACCACCGACAGAGTTTTTCCGCGCGCAGGAAGCACGGCCGCCAAAGATGGTGAAGGATCGGTCAGCTGAAGTGGCTTAGATCAATGGAACAGGATCTCGACAGTTTCACACATATCCAACTAGAATAAGGTATAAGATGGTATAAGTATACAATGGCTGATAAAAAAACAGAATTTAGATGTGCTAAAAGTCACTAAGTAACCACAAACTGACTGGTTTTCATCTCTTGGGACGATCAACCCGAATGCCAATGGTCAAGTTGATGGAACAGCTATCCCCTTGGATTGTTCGGATGGCTAGAACCTGCAAAAAGAAACGCTTGTGACCCTTGTAGCCACAGCTTGGAAGACTGTTGGGGCTGTTTAAATCAGAGAAATCCGATGAAATTTGCCAGAAGGTCAACCGCTGGGGTAGGTTGTTCCATTTTGGATCCTTCAAAGTCCCTTGAAAAGGGCCAACTGTTTGTGGGATTTCATTGCTTTGATGCTTCAACAACAAGATGTTTGGGGATCATTGTGACTTCTGCTATTAGATTCATGCTTTGCGTGCAACATATCATAGCTGTACCCATTATGTCAATGATCACATTGTATTATCATCATGGTTAATGCGATCATCGTCAGCGTGCTTCCGGTATCATTATCAGCCTTGTTACAATGACAACAATAGTAGTGGTGATACTTATATACATCAACCCCAACAAAAATAGAAACACAAAATCCGAACTCAAAATAGGGTGAGAAATTATTTTGGGGGTTACTCTCTGGTAAACTAACACAACTATGGAAAATCATCATTATGAGTAGGCAAATCAAATATTAACTTGACATTCTCCATAGCTATGTTAGTTTACCAGAGGGTAGATTCCATTAAATCCTATGAAAATCCCATTAGATCCCATGAAAACCCATGAAAACCCCATTAAATCAACTATTTCATCCTCGGAAAAAAAGAGACACAACAACATCTCCATCTCTCCAAGCGTGTCCGAGGTCCTGCAGTCCAACCTCGCGAGGTCGGTGGGGGAAAAGGGGGTCAAAAGCGCATCATACTCATGGTATTGACAATGTTATCATATGTAGCAAAGATGTCATTGTAGAATCTCACGCCATCCCTTTTGGAGCTGATATGTTTGACTCATAAAACATCATATACCCTCTGGTAATTTAACATAGCGAACTGGAAAGATCCACCATTTTTCATGGGAAAATCCACGATTTCTATGGCCATTTTCAATAGCTATTTTGACAACCAGAGGGTACATCAAGATACATTTCCTATATGTATCTATATGTCATATTCCCCATTAGGCCATATAACATCATATAACCAGTTAGTTATAACATGCCCCTTAGCCTCGCAGGGGCTTGGTGATGCCGGCCAGCCCCCCAGCCACTTGCTGCGCTGGCCACCGGGGACTGACTTAATGGCTTTGCCAATATGGCACCCCCAAAATCAGAAGGTTTACCCTCTGGTAAACTAACATAGCTATGGAAAATCACTATTTTTAATGGGTAAATCCACTATAAATGGCCATTTTCAATAGCTATGTTAGTTTACCAGAGGGTATACATCCATTTCACTGAAAAAAAAGTAACCACTATTATGGGGTATCCACCATTTTCAGACTTTCAGACACACCCACTTTTGAGAACAAAAAAACATGGTGAAACCCGGAACATGATCTACAATTTAGACATGGGCCATGGGCTTTTCATACCTATGCTCAATTACTCAAAGGTTTGATTGATCCAAACCCCACTGGTTTCTGGACCCTTTCAAAAGACCACATGGGTGCGAGGTCGGTGGGAAAGGCCTGAAAGGTCGCGATTCTCAACGCGAGGACGCGCAGAAACCAGTGACACCAGTGGCTACCATGTGGAGTTGCCCGAAAATGGGGGTACACTGGGGTAAACTTTCTTGCCAATTTATAGATGATTGGCCATGATTTACCTATCAAAACCGGTGACTTTCCATCGCTGTGTTAGTTTACTGGAGGGTACCCCAAAATGGCAGTTTTAGTGGGGAAAACGACTCACTCGTTAGGTTATATACCATTGTATACTCATAGACCATCACCATCTTTGAAACCAATATGTGGATGGGAAGCAATGAATGTAGGAGTTAGAATGGCCCTTGCCCATCTTCCCATCCTCCACAACCGCAAACATACAGACAACATTTCAAAGCAACCAACCCCCATAACATCACAAACAAATCATAACAACCAAAGCATACCCATAAACCAATAAGAAATCAATCAACCAAACAACACAAATAAATCAGAACAACCAAGACAAAACCAACATCCAATGAGTAATCAATCAACCAAGACAATAACAAAACCATAGCAACAAGCAATCATCAAAAACCAAAACAACATCCCATCACAAAAATTATTCAACAAACCAACCAATAAGATTGTTGAATAATCCATGCCAAAACATATTCAATGAACCAATCAAAATTCAAACAAAATTCAACCAATCAACCATCATCAAAATTTAGGGGGCAAGGTCTCCCTCATAGAAAAAAAAATATTTCCACAAAAGATTATCTGTAAAATAGTGGGGCAAGGTTGCCCTTACAGAAACACCAGATTAACATATAATTGAAACAATCCAACCAATGCTAAACCTCATTCATAAGTCCATTGTTATGCCAGCACCTCAACAAAAAAGCATTGGTATTGCTACAACATAGGACTATTGATTGTATAGTATATTAGTTATATCTAATCAACCACTATTTACAACTACAATTACACCTTTTACAATAAGCAACTATATTATCCAATGTATGGGTATATATACGGTATATTCATTATTCACCCTTTGGGCGGTTAGATTTGTTGTTATACTTCCATTATTCATAGTAGTATAAAACCCACATCCGCAGTAATTACATTGATTTTTTATATTCTCTAAAAACCATTCAACATTCACATATCCTTCTTTTGGTATTTTTCTTTTTGCCTTTCTATCTTGCTCTTTGTAATTCAGTATCTTTCTTTCATAATAACTCACCATACATTTATAATTAAATTCATCATATACATCATTGCTATATTTGAAAAACTTGACATTGTTTAAGTCTCTTGCTCTTGTAATTGCCGTCCATATCCATTCTTTGTATTCTCTTATGTCCCAATGGTTGTAATCAAATATTGTAATATCACCATCTATGCTACTGCCTTGGGCGGAATGACAAGTGGCACAGTGAGCAAATATAAAGTTCTTCCTGACCTTTTCAATATCCAAAGGTTGAACTTCACCACTTTTTACATTTTTGAGTTTTAGACATTTATTATTTGCCAATACTATTTCATATTTAAAATTCACATTGAAGACGCAGTGTTTAGACTTAGTATATTCTCTACATATTAAAAACTCTCCTGTTTCATATTCATACTTTCTATTTTCCAATTTGCGGATGGCACTTGAAACATTTTTACAAGTGTCATTCAGATATGCTATGTTATTTTTTGAACCGCTTATATCACTGGTATATTGAACATATTTACTGATGAACTTTTTATAAGTAATGTTATTTATGAAAATATCGTCCTTTATATTACTTAGTTTGTCCTTATCCTCCTGTGTTTCAAGTCTCTTACATATTTTCAGCAATATATTATTTTCAAATATATTATCTATGATTTGGTCGGCATAGGTTTCGTAGTCCTGTATATTGGTTAGTGGTTGGATGGGTTTTAGTTGTTTTGTGTCTCCTGTCGCAATAATAATTTTGTCATGCTTGTTCTGTTCTACAAATTGTTTTATCCTCCAATAGGTGCTCAAACTGCTAAAATATATCTCATCAAATACTATGACATCAAAACCGGAATAATCAAAAGGTTCTAACCTGACATCACCAAAAGATATTCCAAAAAACTTATTCAGGGTCAGTGCCTCTCCTTCAAATGCTTGTAGTAATTTATTAGTAGGACATACAAATATCACTTTATATTCTTTATCTACCATTCTTTGGCATATATAACTTTTACCAGTTCCCGGCAGTTCTCCTCTTATCATCATAGGATTATTACACTTAATATGTTCTATAATATTATCAGTGTCATATTCATCTTCTACATCAATTGTTTTATTTTCATATATTGGGATTTCAATTAATTCATTTTCCACTACATCATATTTGACAGTTGGAAATTTGATGTCATCATTATACTTGCTTACTCTCCACCCTCCTATTTCATTATTGAAATTCAATAACTCACCTGCCTTTTCTACATCAGTTGCTCTTATTACAAAGGCATCTGTTTTTACACTAAACATCTTGATATTATTTTGTTTCATCTTGCTATAAGACTTATACATTTCCAAATTATGAAGTTGTAAAAGCAACTCCTTGACATATCTAAAACCATTTTTCAGTTGTGCTTGGTCTTTTATATTTAGGATGTAGTAATTATCAGTATTAATTTGGTTGGATGAGTGCTGTAATTCATCTTCATTCTCAATTATCTCATCCTCTATCTCTACATCACTTACTTTATGAAGTTTTCCACCATAATTTACTTGATAATCAATTGCTTCACTTAAACTCTTAAACAATAAACTTTTTTGGTCCGTAGCACCTCCTTTTTCCAATAAACCAAAATTGACATTAGCAATTAGTTTCTTTATATACTTGTCCTCTTCAATATCATCACTGATTGACATGTTCCAAAGTTCATCAATAATTTCTTTATGATTACATTTGTGAATTTGCGACGGGGTCTTAAAGCACAATATATCAATATCAACATCATCAATAACTTCTTTTAAGATACATCCATATTTAGTTTCATACTTTTTATTCATAAAGACCTTATTTTTTTCAAAGTCATTATTCTTAACATAGTATAAAGTTAAATCATTATATTCATTTATTTTTCCATCATAAGGTTTCCAAATGTCAAACTGATTGAAAACGGGTTTCTCATCCATTTTTAAAAACATACTTGTGAATGCTTTTGATATATCAATTTCCGCTACTTCTAAGGATTTTGTTGAAATTTTATGCTTGATATAATCCAGACAATCACCTGAATAAAACCATCCACATGGCACAATAGTT